TTCTATTTATGCCCTGCAATGTTGGTTTGATATTTATTAAATTCCTACTGCTGCTATATCTGCAAGCTCTCTATTCTTAATCAACACATTAGAGATACCGTAACTTGCAATTATGAGTTCTCATTTTATAATTATATTATGTTGTGGACATGACTTGATTTATGAAAATTAACCAAATGATTCATTACATTTACATTTAAAAGTTTAAGAACTAAAATTCAACAGTGGCATTATTATGCTATTGATATTTTTGGTTTTATGCATTAGAACTAATTCTCAGACATTTACAGTTTACAAATTGTAGGACTTTTTATGGGGTAATAACATATAAAAAAATACTATTTTATAAATATTTTCAAAAAAAAGTTTATTAATATCAAAAAAATATATTTTGGCATTGTAATTTCCCAAATTAATTAGCTTAAAATACCCCTTCTGTTCAATCGTTTAGACCGTCTTAAATAAGCATTTTGTTACTGTTTATTTTTCACACAATTATCAAAACCTTTAAATAAAAATATAATTTATTGTGACATAATAATAATCAACATGTGTAATAAAATACAGTCAATCATAAAGAAACAATACAATTATGATTTCAATAATCTACACTGCAGAAATAATTTTCAAGGGAGTTATGCACTTTCAATGATGTGCATATAAGTCACTTCGAGAAATTACCAACAGAGACAATATTACACAGCAAGTAATGTATTGGCAATAGTACACAGGGTAAAGCAACAAAACACATCTTGCAGTACATAGACAAAGTAACTGTTAGGAAAGTTAGTCACTGAAACCACTTTCGGAGGTCCTAAGTTAATGTTTGTATTGTACAGGATTACATTATACATTTATAGCTTTTGCACCTGTGCTATTTAACACATAGGCAGCACTGGTAAGTAGTAGGGTGAGCGTATGTTATGGTTCTGGCATTTATAATAAGCTTTAGTTACATGCTGTAAGTAAAGTATTGCTAAAGGCAAATACTCCTATTGCTTACAATACTAGTAGCACTGAGGTTAAAAATTTATTCCTGCATCAGTCAGGAATTGTATATGAGTGATTGGAGCTAGGATTTACCAGTTACCAAATTCTGTCATGTGCCTTGTATTCTCTTCAGTAGTGTAAGATGAATGCATAGATTTTCAAACAGTGGTCTGGACACAGTCTCTTGTGGACCCAAAACAGCTCTCTGAGCCTTGGAGCAGCTCCGGTCAGCTCCCCCGTTCAGCTCTCAGTTTAAATCTCGCAGCCTGCGTGCTGTGCGGAGGGTTGCCACGGTAACCCGTTGCAACACTCTGACGGCCCACGGGTCTCGCGAGGCTTACACTGTGAGATAAACGGGGGAGGTGAACGGAGCTGACCGGAGCTGCTACAAAGGTAAGTAACAGCTTGCTCCGGCCCCCAACAGGACCGCCGGGCTTGTAATGAGCCCGGTGGTCCTGGTCTGTATTATGGCAATGTAAGTTGCAATAATACAGACATTGACTCGAGTATAAGCCGAGTGGGGGGTTTTCAGCACAAAAAATGTGCCGAAAATCTCGGCTTATACGCGAGTATATATGATAATGTAATAGATAGTTTCTAATATACCTGGACAACAACTTAATTATGCTAACATTACAGGGAATATACACAATGAATTAATGTACGGTATAGAAATAGACTGCAGTCCCATATCCTTAAGGCATTTATTAATTCACTTAGTAATTTAGACTACATAAATACTAAATAAGAATGAATTGCAAAAAAATAAAATGAAATAATTTATAGTTTCCAGCCTAGTTGTAATTATTTTGTTCTTGGAAGATGGATTGGTGAAATAACTGTAGAAAGTTAAGAATGAAAGCTTGAAAAATAAACTAAGTATTTTCCCAAGTTGTTAACAGAGAAGACAAAGGAAACTTCAGATAGTAGAGGAGAGAGAGTTTATATATGGTGTGTCCCTTATCCTTTATGCTAGCTATTTTTAAGGAATTTCTTATCTCCTAATCACATCTACTGTTCAAATTAACAAATTAAATGAGGTGGGCGTACTCTATGATAATGAGTAATGACCTCATTCCTAATACCTAAGTACCTGAATTTGATCAATAGATGGCATCATTACCAAAGAATTGCTCTTCAATAACTACCATCTCTTAAATAGTTAACTTCAATTAGTGATGATTTTGACGTCATTAGACTGACATTTTATGGGCACCAAAATCTTTAGATAATGTCAAAGCAAACTACACAGACACACTGGCAACATTAAATGCATTTATCATCCTGTTCTGATAGGTTAGTTCTCATTTTAACCTCCAAATAAAAATAAAAAGGTTGAGTTTATCTAGTTTTCAAAAAAAAAATGTGTCTTGGTTTCACAAATTAATTTATTATTTGCTCAGTCTACCCCACCTTGTCAATGTTTTAGAATACAATGTGGTATATATTGCTAATATGTATATATTTTATATAAATTAACACATGCATATTTATTAGATACATTTTTTATACATAAATTGTCTATCGATAATATATATTTATATATATAAAATCATTATATTGCAATTCTATATATTAATACACGTGTACATTGTATACTTCAGTCTGGACAAGTTATCCCTAACACATTCTTTTAGGAGAATTTCACCAAATGCATCACAATGTATCTCAATTATGGTGCCAGGTTTTGGAACATATGTCCCCCTTTACTAGAGGTGGCAATCGGGATAGGGTGCTCCTACAATGTGAAGTTAAATGGATGTACCTCTTCGAGACAGTGTCAACCAATGGTCTCAGCGAGAAGCTGGAGTGGCACTGGTTCCTTTGAGGTGCACCATCATGGGGGCACCCACTGACGTTATTAAGATACTGACTGATTTTATTTTCTCCTGAGATTGGTTTTAAGTAATCATGTGCTCTCTTTGTCCAGTCTAGCATTTCATGTGCTGTAGTTTGTTTTGTGTTACATTATCAGTATTTACTTTATTTGCTTACTTACATTTTTTGTACTAGAAGATCTGAATGGTTTGCATTAGCTGCATTAAGGGTTAACATACATAACTACTGGTTTTCTGTTATGGGTTATGTGCATTGGGAGTATATGCTTTCATATGAAGTTGCAGACTCTATTTTCAATGTGCTTTTATAAGTTTAGATAATTTAAAATGTATATTAATATTATATACAATTTAACTACTGAATATACTTGATTTTAGCAGCTTGTTGGCTTGCTCCATTGCCTAGGGATTGTTGCTAGGCACTGTGAGTCATGCTGATCGAATTACTGTATGATATCACTAGATCTCGCGAGATCTCAGCAGGGAGCAATGGAGCCGACAGCAGAAGCTGGAACAAGCTGTATTCTCTTGGTGGAGGGTAGTTTAACTTATCATATATATTCTGGTGAGTGTGTTGCATGAGTTGAGGGCATTTATCATTGATAAAAGGACAGGGTCCCGAAATGCCTGTACTTTGAATGCTCTTTAAATCAATTTGGGCTGCAGTGGTTGGTCCCTATAACTAAGCTGCGCTTTGTGGATGAATACTTTGGATTTCTATTAGGAGTTAGTAAGACAGTGCAAATCTTATAACAAGAGCCTAACTGCGTCTTATGTCACATAGCCAGACATTCCATATTTTTTTTACAAACTTGTCTAGGATACCTATAGCTCTTCTTTCTTTTCAGTGAATAGAAAACATTTTTTTTAATTGCAAAACAAGATGGCTAAAGTCTGGTTCATATTATTATAATATTCAATTTACAGCAAATTTATAAGCATATGATATTTTCACAAAATGTCTGACAAAAAATTTTTAATAGCAAATTAGATTACATATATCCATAAAAATTGCAAGGTTCAATTATAACACACAGAAAACAAAATTTCATTTTCAGAAGGTACATTTTGGACTTTGTAGGTCAAGCATGATTGTAATATGTACTACACCCTGTTCCAAATTATTATGCAAATTATATTTTTCTCATTTACCTAAATAATTGATATAAATAACAGTCAGCATAATTACAACAATTCAAATTTTATTGAACAAACCTCCTAATAACAGTATTTTATTTAAACATAAAAAACTTACAATGCACTGTTCCAAATTATTACGCACAGTAAGTTTCAAAACACTTTATAGGTTGTAAAGAACTGAAAATTGTCATTTGTTGTGTTTGCAGCATATTTACTGAAATCAAAAGCTATTTCGATGAAACTTATAACATTTTAACTTTTTAAACATTTTAACAGGTCACGTTACATTTTAACATAGGTCCCCTTATTTGATAGCAGCTTCACAATTGAGCTTCCATTGAACTTGTGAGTTTTTGGACAGTTTCTGCTTGAATTTGTTTGCAATATGTCAGAATAGCCTCCCAGAGCTGCTGTTTGGATGTAAACTGTCCCCACCCTCAGATATTTTGCTTGAGGATGCTCCAAAGGTTCTCAATAGGATTGAGGATGGAGGCCACACTTTCTCTCCTTTTATCCCCATTGCAGCCATTGATGCAGAGGTATTCTTTGAAGCATGAGATGGTGCATTGTCATGCATGAAGATGATATTACGGAAAGCATAGTTCTTCCTTCTGTACCAGGGAAGAAAGTGGTTAGTCAGAAACTCCACATACTTTGCAGAGGTCATCCTTACACCTTCGGGGACCCTAAAGCGGCCGACCAGCTCTCTTCCCATGATTCCGGCCCAAAACATGACTCCACCACCGCCTTGCTGACATCGTAGCCTTGTTGGAACAGGGTGGCCGTCCACCAACCATCCACTACTCCATCCATCTGGACCATCCAGGGTTGCATGGCACTCATCAGTGAACAGGACTGTTTGAAAATTAGTCTTCATGTATTCTGCTTGTGAGCATTGATTAGTGGTGGCCGAATAGAAGAACAGAAGGTTTATGCACAGTTGCAAGACTCTGGAGGACTCTACACCTTGATGTCCGTTGGACTCCAGAGGCACCAGCAGCTTCAAATATCTGTTTTCTGCTATGTAATGGTATTTTAGCAGCTGCTCTCTTGATCCGATGCATGGATCTGGCAGAAATCTTCCTCAATGTGCCTTTATCTGCATGAACCTGTCTGTGCTCTGAATCAGCCACAAATCTCTTAATAGTGCAATGGTCATGCTTAAGGTTTCGTGAAATATCTAATGTTTTCATACCTTGTCCAAGGCATTGAACTATTTCACTCTTTTCGGCAGCAGAGAGATCCTTTTTCTTCCCCATATTGCATGAAAATGGTGCTCTGCTTAATATGGAACACCCTCTTTTAGCAGTTTTTCCTTAAATTGGGCTCACCTGGCAATCTAATTATCACAGATGTCCGAGATTGTTTTCAGTGATCAAAAGAGCCCTGAGACACATTGCCATCCATGAGTTAAACCGACACTATACCGAGAGAAATAGAAACCTTCAGTAATGGACATTCTTCTTTGTATTTCTACTAAGCTTGGTAGAATTATTTCTCGTTTTTCCACCCACCCTCAAAAGTTTAAACAATTGAATATTAATATATCTCTCTTTCATTACTGTTTGTTTTTTGTTTTGTTTTTTGTTTGAGTAAATGTATGACATTTTATTCAACATGAAACTTTGCAATTAAGAGAATCACAATTTTACATTTTAGTTTTTGTTTTCAAAATATGCCTTCTGGCAAATGTAAAAATGAAAGTTTTTAAAATCCAATAAGGTTACTTTTTGACAAATATGCAATTTGCCCTCTGGGTGTTCTGTAATTAGAAGTAAATGTTACAATACAGTGGTAAACATGAGCAAAGTTCAGAAGCATACACCAATAATTTCTTCTTTGGTTCTTTAGCATCAGTGAACACATTTGGTGCTCACAGCTATATAAAATACATCTCTGGCATTCAAAGAAATTATGTAAAAGAAAGAATTGGGCAAGTTACTGTTTTAATGGAAAAGAGATCTAAAAAGAACAAGTACAATTTAACACTTGTACTAACTTGCTGCAGTCGGCTATGGTGTCAATAGTAAATAGCTTCTCTATTCCCATGTGCTAAAGTACCATGCTGTATGTGCAAATATTAACAATTATATTTATTATTATTATTATTATTATTTATCCATTGTTCTTCATATGTGATAGTCATATCTGAAGCACCAGAGACTCCAGTATCATCAGCTGAGTAAAATCACTGGTCCTGACATTTTTATTATGGAATACATGTCCCTGATCTGCTATTCCTCACTTTATGAGAAACTTAAATTCTCTGGCTGGAAGTGGTCAGTGTAATTCCCTAAAATAACAAGAGGTGGAGATGGGAGAATGTAATATTATAAGCCAATTTATGTTTAAATATTCAAAATTAATTTCAAATAATTTAGCCACCAGGATAAAAATTCTATACTATATTTGCTCCTACCTCAATAAATGAATTTTGTACCTTGATGTAACGAAATAACACAGCTAGCGCTTTAAATGTTATAAAGTAAACTTGTTATTTCACTACCTCCTACAACTTCAGTCTACAAGGTATTTGATAGTATAAACTGGTCCTTGAATGTTTTAGGTTTTCAGAAGAAATTGAAATGTTTAATGTTCAGAAGTATTGTAACATTAGGGTGTTACAAAGTCAAGAAGAAAGGTAGGAGTGAAATACAATAGTACAGCAGATGCATCCATCTAAGTGCAAGAAAAAAGGACAAGAACCACATGGTGTGTTTATCTAAGTCAAATTAGGCTTAATGATACTTGCAAATATAACTATTCCGATATGACGATGAAACAAAACAAGACAACTGATAAGTTGTGCTCACATTGAATATGCTTGGGACACATAATTTTGCTAAGGGGCTTTAGGTCAAAGTATACCATGTTGATCAGTTGATCAGTAAACCCTTTCATTGAAAAACAACAAAACAACAAAACTTAGAATTTGTTCCACCATAACTTAAGAGTTTCTCTTTAAGTGGCCCCATACATATTACATATGGGATTTTTTAAGGACAGAAAAGGCTTTATTTTAATATCCTATATGAATACCTAACACAACAATGAGTATCAATAAAATGTTACAAATGGGAAATAAATGAAAAAAGAAAATGTATTTCCACTTTTTTACATATAATATTTTTTACCCATCCAGTGCAACTTGTGAGAACAAACTCAGAATACATTCACAAATCAATCCTAATTGTTAAATGCCTCAGTGTTTTCAGGTGGGTTAAAGGGCTGTGTGCAGAGCTCATTTGTCAGTCTGGGGCTACTAAATGTAGTATTAGCTGAACGAGGAGCTAATACCTTGATATGTGGCACACCTTGGTTCGAGCAGGGAATTAACCTTGCTTACACCAAACTTTCAAGCAATGCACACTTTAACCCTGCTCAAACCATGTTGCAGGCAATGGGGAATTAAATATCCACTTTCCCTTTCAGCACTGCGTACAAGTCTACTGTCACTAAAAACGGCCCAGATTGACAGAGAGGAGCCCCGGGGATTTAACAGTACTCACATTAAAATGTTAGGATGTGTCAATATGTACTAATGACATTAAAGTCCAGTATTGTTATGGATGTAATGACATGTCTTGAGATGAAAATATATCTTTTCAGAAAATGAAATTTAGTTCTGGACCTCCGACACTTGTTCAGTTTGGCTCATCTGAATACCATTCATGAAAAATATTTCCAAAAATGATTCTGATGAACCAAAAGGGTGCAAATATGGGCCAACCAGTCTACTGCAAAACATGTACATTTTATAGATAGTATGTATATATTTTGCAGCAAACTAATACATGCAATTTCCCACAATTTGTTTCACAGACATAAATATAGACCTTTTCTCTTTATCAGTCACTTCTCACTTGAATAAAATCAACTTTTACTGTAAGCTTGCAAACCTGTGGCGTAGGTCAATAAAGTTACATAGTTACATAGTTACATAGCTGAAAAGAGACTTGTGTCCATCAAGTTCAGCCTTCCACACATATGTTTTTGCTGTTGATCCAAAAGTCTATTTCTAACATCTTACTCTTCTTCTCCAATTATCAAATAATTCTATATTATAATCATTATTATATTACAATGTTGTATTTAAAGGTCCAACGCATTTCACAGCACTCTTTTTGTTGCATATAAAAGATTAATGACAAACTGCAATTCGAATTTAAACATGCTAAACAATGAAAGTAGCATGCAGATATAAATTGTAAAGAATGATCAGAAACAACCTGCAATCTAAACATCACTAGACTCAATATTTAATACAGATGAATAAATAATAAAGAAAACAACCTTAGTCCACAGTGCATTATGGTCTACTTAATTAGGAACTTGCAAAATACTGGCTGTATTACTGCTGTCTAGCATGGTGGAAGTCCCATGCCTGCACCAGGCTGATTATGTATTGACTTTGTTATAAAGTAGTTCGTTTGTTCAGTATGAACTATTTAACATTAATTTTAAAGTATAATGCATATAATTCATCAAGGCCTTTGAGGGGCTTTATCAGCATCACAAAACCTTAAGTAGCCTAGAAACATGTTTTATTTTTTAAATAAACGTATGAAGCAGCATTGGTCACCTTGGGACATGATCTGTGTTTTGCTGGAGGTTAAAGAAAAATACTCAAACATAACAGTGAAGTTTGTGAATGCTTTAGTATAATGTATGCTGAAAATGATTTGTGTTTGTCCAAAGTAAACCTTATCCATTCAGTGTAATTGTTTATTTAACAATGGCAAAAATGTATGCATAGGTGTATATTCTGCAGAGCAAAACATACTCAACTTCTTTTGTATGTAGCTTCTTGCTGGTTTTCAAAATACTCAAAATTGGTCACAATGTCCATATTCCCAAAAATATACTATGCTTTCCATAAGTATTAATCCTTTCCAAAATATCTACATATTGTAGTAGTGTAATTAAAGTGGATTTTCTTGGTATTTTTACTATTTAATTTTCATGATATAGCTAACATTTTTTGAGTGTTGAGAATACATTTTTTTAATTAAAACAAAACAAATAAAAGTTAAAAGTTAAGTAAACAAAGACAGACATTTATTGATTGCATAAAGATCCACTCCTATTGATATAAAACCATTCCATATGCACTGGAGTTACCAAATGACTTCAGAATTCATTGAATGGGTCCCATCTGTATGCAATTAAAGCTTCCCTAAAGTTCTGAAGAAGCATCAGTCACAGCTGGGCTATGAGAAAATAACTAAAACTTTGAAAATTCTACTAGAGTATTGCTAAATTCATTATTAAAAAATGTGATTTAGTCTAGGGCAAAGAAAAGTTTTTTTTTAAACTGTTTGTACAATAATGATGTGGAATTCTCTGCCTGAACAAGTGGTTTTATCAGAGTCTGTACAGATGCTTAAAAAGCAACTAGATGCATACTTGCAGAAACATAATATACAATGATCTAATTTTTCAAATGAAGAGTAATAGCTTCATGATATAAAAATAAATCTGACAGTCATTCTGGGGTCAAGAAGGATTTTTTTCTTGGTTTGTTGCAAAATTGGAAGGGCTTCAAACTATTTTTTTTTTTCTTCTTTTGGATCACCAGCAACACAACAATGTGAGGAAGACTTAAGTTGTTCAGATCTTTCACTGTATTAGTATGAGATAGATCTTTTGCCATGCAGGGCCACAGTACTGCTTGTGCCTGGTCCTCAGACATAGTTAGGGTCTCTGCTGTATCCACCAAAGTTCCAGCTCTGGCTAAAAAAAAAAAACCTCCATATGGATGGTTTTGAAAAGATGCTAAACACACTGTTGAGAAGATGTGTCTCAATTCAGAAGATGGTAGGACGCTCTACCATAAATAAATAAAATAGGTAACCTTGGCACTCACCCCTTTGATGATACTGACTATTATCTTGCCTTGGTGTCACCTCAGCATGCACATATATATTGAAAGTGTATCTTTTACTGAAGTTACATATACATTGAATTGTCCCGAAGAACGTTTCGACCCCTGTAGGGTCTTTGTCAAGATCAACATTATAGTGCAAAGAGGGAGAATATTTAAGAAAAGTATAATAAATACTTACCAATGAAATGTGTAAAAGGATCTGACACCCGACCAAACCCGGAAGTGCACAGGTGAGACACGTGATCAAACGTGATGACGCGTGCAATAGTGTCTGCGTTATTAAGCAACATACAAATATAAAGAAGTGTGTGATTCCCCAGTGCAATGTGTTAAAGTGGTGTGTTACAAATTAATCATATGAAGTATAAA